ACTTTTGTCAGGGACTGTATATATCTCAACCCCACACAGCAGGGAGGGAGGGAGGGTACTTATTCACATATGCAGTGCACATGTGGCCTTTTTACACACTTGACATATGCAAAGCTTGTGGACACACATAATAGTGTAACCATTCATTCTAATGATCAAACAAAGCTTAATAGAGAACCACCATACATGATTAAAAAAAAAAAGAGTGAGCTAATTTTCTCAGAAAATTAAGAATCTGGAACAAATCTCCTCAAACCACCAAGTGATTGCCTCACATACAGTGTCTCTCTGCTCACTGTTGAGTTCAGCTTCTATCAGTGTACAGTTAAGTATGCAACCTACACACTATTAGTATCTGTGACGTGGATCATTCAAATACAGCAAGATATGTGACAGGTGGTGGGACAGGGATAGAGCAACTAGAAGAGAAAAGTTGCATCAACACTGTGCAATACTTTCTTAAAGCCAACAGCAATTGCTAAAAGATCATAGATGAATGAATGCCTCTTAACAATTATAACAAACAGCACAGTATCTTTAAACCACGTTGGTCCTTGTAGTCAGGGGAAACAACCAAAACAGATTTTGCTGTTGTCTGTTCCCAACATAAAACACATTCATAATAACATTCTCTTCTCGTTAGAAAAAATGGCAATTTTTATTTTGACTGGCTCACACAGAGGAGTCATCAGGCACTCAGCAGAAAGTGAAATACTAATCAGCTTTACAATCGAATTTCTCTACAGAAATAAAACTAAAACTGTACTTAATTACTTCAATATTCTTAAAACTACTTTTGGGGCTCAAAATAATGACTTTATTAGAGATTTCTAGATATAATTTGCATTCCTTGTTTCGTTTCCATTCCCCTCATTAATAAGATTCTTCGGATTGTTTTAGGTCGTCCAACCCCCTGTTCGCAGCCAACTCTGATTTCCACGTCACCTGAGAGCATAAGCTTGCCGTCTACATTCCTACAAAATCTTACAGTTTACCATGGCCTTTAAAGAGGTTGATTGTGGTGTTCAACTTAACCACATATAGAGAGACTAAAGTAGGGAAGGCTAAATTCCTTCAGACTGGTAAATACCAGCTGATGGGGTATGAAGACCGTCATGGGGTTGATAGAATACTGTGACATTTGTGCCTGTATGCACACAGATGAAGGGTCACAGCCAGGAATCAATGTGCAAGGTGTAGCTCACAGTTTGGACCGCAAAGGCTTCAGGTACTTGTGGAAGGATTCATGGACCTGGGGATGAAAAAAAGAGCCTTTGTTACACAGAAATAATGAGCAAGACCTGGGGAAAAAATACATGCTTATGCAATCACACGCACAGTCTCCTCCACATCTGTGTAAGGTAGTATTTGCAGCTGCATATTTTGTTCTGTTATGAGCATCCTCTGATCCCAAATGATTGTGGTTGGCCACACAGTGCTCAATAGTGGAAGCTTGGGTGAATCAAAAAAGCCGTTTATGACACTTCATCTTTCATTTCTGCAAGTGACTGATCAACTTAATGTGACCCTATCTGGACTGTCTCAGTGTAGTACATCCCAGTCACAAAAAACTTTCATGTCACTACATACATTCATCTAAATTTAACTGTAACTAATGTTTTTTATTATATACCAAAAGAGTAATGGTGTCATAATTCCAACAGATACAACCTTCACTTTTTAAAACTACTGCCCCTGTCATATTAAAGTGCTTCTGTCACCAATAGATATAACAAACAGATTGAGAAACTAAAAAGATTAGTTACACACTTCAACAGAACATGTCATTTGTTATTTTTAACTGGTCACCAAGCTTCAAAAGGGTGGATCTAATCTCACAGGGCAGATTCTCAGGAAGGAGGGTAGTGATATGGATGCATGAGAGCAGTGTGCTGCAGATCAACAGAAAGAGTAACATTTTAGACTCTCGTGGGGTTCAGTAAGCACCCTGCATCCTTTTCTTGTTGCTGGTGTTTAGTGTATGTCTTGGCCTGTTGGTAGCTTGTACGACCGTAAGGCTTAGTCGTAATTAAATCCTTTTGACCTAACAACAAAACCCTATATCGGTGCTACGTGTGCCATGACACTAGCATTATTTCACCCGTGTCACCCTGACTGACCTCTGTGGCGTTTAGGGGTGAGCGGCGAGCCCACTCGAACATGTGCTCATAGACGTTCCCATCATATCGTCCCAGGACTGAATTCAGCTTCTTGTCATGGAGGTCAAAGGAATCTACCAGTGCCACAGCGTTGGGCCTCAGCTGAGACAGCAGCTCCTTGATACGAATAGAAATCTGTAGCACCTGGGGCACATTCAGCAGTCCAGCCTGAAATAAAAACAGATAAAGATGTAGATGAAGACATGCTGCTGGATCTCACTCAATTGCCTGGACAGTGAGGAAACAGTAGAGACAGAAGGTTGTTCTGACCTAATTTTTAATTTAAAAGCAAAACATTTTTTAAATTGCTTTATTTAAACAGCAGAAGACTAACAAGGCATACACATCCAACACACGAAGACTCCATTTTGATAGCGCCGAGACAAAGAGGCAATTGAGGCCGCTGTTCTTTCATATGGAAGCAGACAGTGAAACTGACAGACCAAAACCACAGAGAGTAAGCAAATAACTGGAGCACAGTGTGTCAGTTAACACCTGCAATAAGGACTATATTGTTTCTATGTGTTATGACTTTCCTGACCTGTAGGAAGTCTCCAGAGTTCTTTGTGATGCCATGCAGGGCGTAGAGCAGAGCCAGGGTTGACATCACTGAGTGTATGGCTGTGTCACCAATCTCCCCCAGTTTGTCAGTAAATAACTTCACTACAACGTAGTGACAGTGGGCCTGGAGAAAAAAACAATCAGGACATGTTAAAAGAAAAAGAAAGAAAATTTGACTTTAAGTTGCATCAGAATGACATTTTGGGCCTGGAAACTCTAAACTTTCTCGTGATGATAAAATGCCTTAATACCAAATGATCAAAAATATAATTTACCTAGAACAAATAATGCATGGCACTGAAAGATTTTTCTCCTTAATATAATCAGGGTTGGAGGGTTATTTTAAAAACTGAAATATTATATTACTAATTACTAATTAGTGAATTTCCCTAGTGTGGGATCAATAAAGTCTGTCTTATCTTCTGTAGTCAGTAACCAAATCTGTTTTACAATATTAAAGTAACATAACTTGAATACTTTCTGTTAGAGAATATCTGTATATCTGAAAATATCTGTATTCTATATGACAACAGAACAACATAACCTTATAAAATAATATGAAACCAAGATTTCAGCATCAAAAATGCTTCCTCTGCTCAGTGTATTTAAAATAGAAAAACTTTTCATGAAGCAAATTCAGGCAGCAGCTTAGAGAATATTTTCACAGCTGGAAGGCAGAACTAACACTGTAACTGTAATGTCATTTCCCTTTTCTACTTTAATGACAGGATAATGTAGAAATTTCCTCACAGTGAAATGGTTTCACTTGACACCAGAATAGCACAGTCAGAATCGTGTTGTAATGTGTGCTCACTGCGCATGTGCATGGTAATACATTGTTATTATTTTGAAATGTTTTTTTTTAAATCCCAATTAGGTAACTATGTTGCATGCAATCCATTACTCCCCAAGCCTGAAAATAAATTATCTTTAATACTGAGCACATAAACTCGAGGAAATGTCAATAAATGCCACTGCAGAATGTAGAGAGAATGTAGAACACAGTAAGTGAACTTACATCTGAGGCTCTGACCAGGTCAATAGCACTGTTGTTCCAGGCGTCCTCCGGGCTCTTCCTGCGCTGCAACTCCTGCTGGATGCTCTTAGCTGCCAGCGCTACTAGACTACAGACACACATCAACCCAAGCCGTCAAAATTTAAGTTAATTAAAAGAAATGAAGACACTTTATATTCAGTTTAACTTTGGCTTTTAAGTACAACAGAGGCTGATGATGAAATGAGATTGTCTTTTTTTACAAATTGATTATCATCAATGAAATCTATATTTCTTTAAAGATATATATCTCAAGTTTTGAAGTGAGCCTCTTCAGAAACACAGAAGAAAAGATTGCTAACCCACAATTCTCCATTGCCTTTTATCCCTCTAATGTCTGAACTGGCAGGCCACATTGTGTCTCCCCCCACTAGACAGGCTTAGCCACTTTTCGTGCTCATCACACAGCTGACACTGACTGCCAAATGAATTTAGATGACTAAGGCTGACAGTATGCAGGGATGTGATCAGGGGAGCACATTACGTCAGACAGTGAAAAGGACAAAGGCAGAAATATGGTAAAAATGAGAGAACAGCTGGTTTGGGCAGACACTGAAACTGATTGGACTATCAGGGTGATTGATGTTGACACCAGAAGCTCTGGCCAACACCAAGACCTGAGATAACTTAACAGCAGACAGTGTGTCAAAATGTATCCCTCCTCTTTAAATTTACAATGTAGGTATTTAGCGAATATCCAGTATCCAAACACTGAGAGGCAAATTTCAGATACACAAATGGCCCCATTACATGCAACCATGAGCTAAGAGTCGATGGGTCATAGCAGCAGTACCCTGACTAAGGATAATTTATGTTTCACAGCGTAAATAAAAAATGTGTGCAATGAAAATGTATAAAATAAAGCTCATGATCACGGCTTTCAATGGCTAAACCTGAAATGAATACATAATTGTCATTGTCCAACCAACGAGGTCACTGTCTCCACTACTCCTGTCTCTTACATGGCAGCTCGTAGTTTGTAGACCTCCACCAGGCTAGCCAGGTCGTTTATGTCGACCACGGTTGGCCTGGCAGCGACGGGCTGGGGCTGGACCCTCTGGTGCTCTGCTTCATTCAGGTATGACACAGTGCCGCTCAGCTGCTGGCCTGCCTTGGCCCGTTGGTAGCTCTTCACCAGGTATCTGCATAGGCAAAAGTTGAGGAGTGTTAAAAAATTAACTGTGGGTGCTTGAGGTAGCTAGTGAACTATTTGTGTCTACAATCTTGGAAATCAGCCGTGCCCAAATGCAGTATTTCTTGTGGTACTGTTAAGAAAAACAATCGGCATTTCTTTCTGTTCCAATTCATTTCTTGACTGTATGACAAAATTAAGAAACTAAACATTCAACAGCCATTCTAACCTGTTGTTATCCTAGTTTTTTTTTTTACTAACACCAAATTAAATGTTTTGTGTAGTCCAGGTTCAGGTACAAGCTCACTGAGCACTGTACATTTCATTAACTGTTTGCACATTCTTGCGAAGCAATATCCCTTTAAAACAAAACATACAACATAACAGGTTGACCTTTACAGTACTGGTGATATAAAACCACAACAGCTATCATTTAGGGATATTCAATGTAACCAGTGTTTGTTTTTGCTGTTAAGTGTGGGTGTGTCCTCTGCATTTGTGGGATGGTAGGGCTGCTGAGTGGGCGCATGTTTATGACTACATGTGTCTATTTTTGTCTCTGTCTCGATCTTGAAGCAAAGACATTTCTAGTGTGTGTTTGTGTCAGAATTGGGTGGAGAACTTGGCTGTGAACTTGTCACATTTGTGGTCATTTGTGTGTGACATGTACCTTGCAGTCTGCAGCATCATGACTGTGTTCTCTCCCTCGTAGGTGCATGTAGGGGTGAAATTGACATAAATATCTGGCAGGGCGCTGCTGCGAGAGTAGCCGTGGCCACCACATGACATGCGACACACCTCAATGGCAGAGTTGGTTTCCCAAGTAGTAAAGGCCTTCAGACCCGCAGACAGGGCATGAAGCTGTAAATTGGAGGGCAAAGAGGGTGATCATCATCCTCAGTCAGTCATCATTAAGCTTAGATCACATGCTACATGTTTATGTCAGTACCTCAGGCAGTTCACTGAAGTCGCCCTCGTTGATGTCTCCACTGATGCGTTGGTAGGTTTGACTCATATACTGGCCAACAAAAGTGAAGCCATAGGCCATAGCTAGCAGAGGGAACAGCTTGTACTGCTGCGTCTGGTAGTCGAGGATCTGGGGCTCTGGCTCTCTGTGGGACAGAAACACACAGGACACACACCCTGTCAACTGGTTGTGCATGCATGACCTTAAGCATGTGTTTGTTTGTACTTGCAGCTTGTATGGGTTATGCAACACGTGTATATCTGTTTGCTGAAGTGCCTTTATGCACTCATTTGTACTGACTGACCCTGGCCGGATTTCAGACTGGTGACGAACAGAACTGTATCGGATGGCGATGGTGCAGGATTTGGCGAGGGCTCGAGCTGACTCGCCTACGATCATGGAGCGGATGAACACCATGGTGCCGTAGGTCAGCTTGGCACTTGGTGGTTTCACATAGGTTCCATCTGGCTCCACCTAGTGGAGAGACAGAGTCATTCTTATTGGGAAATCTTACACACTGTCCTTGAAGAAACAAGTGAAGCAGGTGTGTGACACTGTAAATTCAATCTAAGGAACTGAAGGTGTAACTGAAAAAACAGCCCCCCTTTAGATGCAGCAAAACTGTAAATGCATTCAATAATCTTTGCTCACTGTATCACAAGATAGTCACACAAACCGGAAAAACAACACTTGCTCCACTGCAAACACTTTATAAACAAACATTCAAGGCACGAGGCAAAAAGCCAGAGGTATAATCTCTCCTTAGTGTTAAAAATTCTTGTTGCAGATGTTTCTTTTGTTTTAATTGTGTTTTCATACTACAGTGTTCTTTTTCTTATAGTATTTTATATTAGTTAATACTACAGTTCAAGTTTAAGTACAGTTCAGTTTAATTGCTGATGCTTCAGAGCTTCAAGTCCCACTCTGAATGAAACATATACACTCAGTTCCCTAGGTACACCTAAGTAAAAGTAATGGTGTCTGGAATGAATCCTGCCTTTACTAAAGTTATAATGTTCAGTTTTTGAGATGTTGATTCAACTTAAATGTTATTTTGGAAAATGTAGTTTGTGGTGCTGTTGAATCATACCACATTATACTGACAGGTGTTTGTATTATTTTGTCCATCCATTCCTATAAACGAGGGTAAGCTAAACAGAAGTTCAGAAAGAAAGGTAGATTATGTCCTGTATTGATAAGACATTTGGTGGTATTTGTAGATCTTTATTTATATTAACCATAGTGTTTTGTGTCTAGGACACATAACTTAAGAATACAATGCAACAACTTCCCTATTTGGTAAACAAAACACAGTTGTGCAGGTTGTTGCTTAAAGGACCAGTGTGTAGGATTTAGTGGCTTCTAGCAGTGTAGTAGCAGACTGCATCTCACACTCCCTTTCCAAGCGTGGTGTAGGCATGAAGTGCAATTACACTCGAACGTCACAAATTTCCTCCAAAAACCAAAAACTCAGAATAACCAAAAAACGACGGTAGTAATCAACTTAAACAAGTCTTTTCCTGGACCCCCCATCAAATCAATTGGTGTCACATTACCTTGGCGTATTTCATCAGCATGTTCTCCCGTGGGATTCGAACATTCTCTAGTTTCAGGAAGCCGTTGTCAACTTCACTAAAGCCAAACTTGGGGCCAATATCTCCAACCACAATACCTAAGAGAGAGAGAGAAAAAAAAGAGCAAGTAAACAGGGGTGTGAGAAAGAATGATACAGATAGAAAAAGGGATGCAGAGACAAGTAAGTAAATGAGGGCTGACTTTACCACAAGCAACACATTCACAGACATCACAGCCGGTAGTTACCTGGTAGGGGTACATGTGTGTTCATGTCGCGGATGGGTACGATGAAAGCATGCAGACCGTGGCAGTTTCCCTGAGTGTAAAGCTGGGCTAGAACTATGGCATGGTTGGAGGTCTTTCCAACTAGAAAGAGAACGAGAGAGAGGGTTGAAACTAGTTTGTTCTGAAAAAACGCAGGAAAATATTAAATCAAATAATCTTTCATCAAATTCATCATTCAATTCCTTATTTATACACATAGGGATTCTGCTGTTAGGTCAATTCCAGGCTGCTAAGTTGCTAACAGTCCTAACACTGCAGAGACATCACAGCCTGAATGTACTTACGTCCTCCAGGCCACCATTTGATGGAGCTGATTGTGGGGCTGTTTAAGACAAACTCCTGAGTGGCTGGATCATATGTGGCTGTGGTCTCCAGCCCTCTGAGGTGAGTGCCTAGAGAGACACAACAGATCAAAGCACACCAAACACATAGACAGGGAACACATACATACAGAGTACAAAGTTGAAAAACCAAAATGAATGGTTACTCAGTGACAGCAGTGAGACATGAATCTGTAAAGCATGTTTACAACTGACATTGTAAGCGACAAGTGATATGACAGATGATTAGATCAATCAAACACATTATAATACTTGAATACATGAATCATACAGTCAACAAAAGATATCTCAAAACAACAAACAGGATAATGGATCAAAGAAACATGTTTAGCCCACTACAGTTTGATATATAAATATGTTTCTGAACTCTTTTCAATGAAAATAAAATGGATGAAGTCAACATAGATAAGCAAAGCAGTGAACTTTGTTGAGGTTTGACAGATCTAAAAACATATGTAACAATCATATTTTAGGATAAAATAATTCATGCTTTGTCTACGGCATGCCGTTTGTGAGATGGACTTGGAATTTGCATCTATATTATTGCTATACTCGTCTGCAAACATAAAATAATCTACGATTGTAAATAAATAAAACAGTTCTGTTAAAAACACATAAAAGGGGTTAGTAGGAGAGCAAGAAAGTTGGTTAAGTTTAGTTCTTGGAGGGCTATAGAGTGCTTGAGATCAGGGAGCAGGGATTCCAGAGATAGGCATGAAAGTAACTGGGAAATCTAATTTTGAAATCAATCAATGTATATTTTGTTTGCATTCACTATCATGTTAACCTGAAGCAGCTTAGAAAATTCAGTTAGACTTTGGGATTTGTTTACATCCTGTTTGTCCACTTGTGTCGCTTTCCCTACTTAAATGAATGAACTATTTTCCGCCAAAAATAAATTGCAGCAAAATAAGGACAGCTTAAAAAAACTGGCATGCCAGAAAAAAAAAACAATCTTTCTCAGATAATTATTAATGGAAAATTAGTATAACTACATATTAGGAAACTAGCATTAGTAAACATTATTATTACTACACAATTTTGGTGTCTACTGGCAATGGCAATGATGAAACAGCCAACTGATCCCTGTCTACTGACAGGCCTTAAACAGGCCTGATATTTTGGGCTGCTCTGTTCATTTTACCGTGGCCCATCTCAGTCTGAGCGTAGGTGCCGACAATCTCTAGGTTCCAGGCAGGCATGAAGAAACGGTCCATTTGCTGTGGGGTAGCCTGGTTGAGCAGTGTGGGCAGGAACATCCCCAGATGGAGATCCAAGGGCTCTGGCCTGTCGGGGTGCACACACCTAGGCCACGCAGCACAGGGGTAAACGGACAAGAAAAGCAGGTGGTAATGAAGAAAGGGAAGGGAAGGAGATAGAAAGTGTAAACCCAGTGTACGTGCAGATGGATGAGGACAGAAAACCCACAGGAGGAATTATGGGAAAGAATTGATATGGTTTATTGTCAAGGAAAAGAGAGAAGAACAAAAAGAAGAAGAGATAAAGAAGTTTGTGCAAGCAAGCAGTAAGGGTGGAAGTGACAAAGACAAATTAAATCACCTTGTAAGCATATCATGCACATCTGAATGCACACGAACTGCTGATTTGATCATAAGGTCATAATTTGGATTGAAACTTATTTAAATTCCATTTAAATCTCTCTTCAGTACATAGCCAGCCTTAGCCAGTATCATTTTAATTATTAGGTGTTCAATATCGAAAAATTAGAGGTTGCACTGGCATGAGCGCTATATGAAGCACACTTACACACAGAATCAATCAGGGAGGCCAGAGTTGCCAACCTGGCGACGCTAAATTACTTTCCAGACGCTCTTAGCGACTTATTCAGACCAAGCCAAGAAATAGATTCCAGTATATTATATTAATTCCCATGCATGCTGCTCAGAGTAAGCACAGTCAACGGCTCTCTCTTAACCAACAGCACTGCAGTCTCTCCCTCTCCTCCTGCGTTGTGCACAGGCAGTCAGTAATTGTGGCATGTTGGCCATGTTGGCCACGTTTGACCTTCTCTCTCACTCTCTCTCCAGATCTCTGGATTAGGGCGACCCTTTGGCTTACATGTAAATAGTTAGTTTTACTTTTTCACTTGAAATACACAATGTGCCTATAGTGATTATTTGGCTAACAAAATTCAACGCCAGAGTATGTGTTGCTGTATACCAATCAGAAACAGGTTTGCATTTGCACTCATAATTACAGGCATCAGATGAATTGATGATGAAAATAACCATTAGCTGCAGCCCTGGGAAAGTGGCCATGGGCACATTAGGTTACATGTTCCCTTACATGAACAAATTGTTCATTAGAGACAGGGCCATCAGTTCTAAACTTTCAGGGTAGCTTTGCACAGATGATGCACAAATTCATAATAACATCCACTTGGCTTTGTAACAACAAGGCAACAAACAATAGCTGGCTTGGCCTACATTCTCTCTCACCACAGATTTTTCGGCCTCTCAGATTACAAAGAGACATTCAGGAGCTAGAACTCAGCCTCATTGTGGCTCCCAGACCACGTATTTCTGCTGCACATAATGTAGGCTCTCTTGCTTTTGATGTAAGATTGCATAACAAGGACAGAAAAATGTCCCAGTCTACGCCACTACCTGCTAATTCAGACAGCAGAGGATCTCAACATCCAAACCAAGGACAGGCTAGATAATCAAGACTTAATTACTGATTCAAAAAGATGCAAACTTAGTTAATCATTTACAAAGCAATCAAGACACAAGCAATCAAAATGCACACAAAGTTCATTATCAGTGCATTATCATTACATAAAGGGGAAATGAGAGAGTTGTGAGTAGGAAAGCAGTAGAACTACCCAATGTTGAGGGGAATATGTTTTGGATGAGATGAGACTAAACTAATTTTATTTTAATCCTGAAGGTGTAAGGGACAGCTACTAGTTGAGCGATGTTAATAGCGCAGTTACATCTATTATCTAGTCACAAAGTACCATCTCTTGTTAGTACGAAATGTCACACATGAGTACAATTGTCAGGACCCACATGCAACTACTTTTGACTTTTCTACATGATTTAGATCTGTCAAACATATACAAGAAATCACCAGACCTACACCTGGTACTTTACAAACTTGCCTCTTTTCCTGCAGCAAATATAATTTTGGCTTAACATTTAAAAAAAAACACAAATGCCATTTTGTGCTTTTTAAGTACAGCACAGTGAGATTGTGTCTGAGGGCTTTAAACAAGTAAATAAGGTAAGGGCTAAGTCGAGGACTGACCGTGACCCATCTCAGTTTGGGCATACGTGCCCACAACTTGGAAGGACTCTGCCACAGGTAACCATTTCCTGGCCTGCTGAGGGTTGCACTGGCTGTACAGGGTTGGGAGGAACATGACAAAGTGTAGCCCCATGGCCTCATGATGGTTGCCTCTAACCATACTGGGTGAAGAAGGGAAGGTATAGGATACACAACAGACTTGCTATTATTCAAAATGCAACTGATGTATTTGCTGTTTGCAAGACAGTTAGTTTTTTTTATGGCTGAGATTTATCTACACTTTAGTTTTTTGTTTGGACATGGTCCTCTGTCATCTTAAAAATGTAGTTTAGTATTCAGTCAAATTCAGTGGTTGAACCAGTAAGATAAAAAGTCTCCGGTTGAGGTTCTTCATCATTCGAACTGGATGACATGGCTGTATATCTTTCTTATTTACATTGCCTTTTAGGGATTCTATCTGGAAACGTATCAAATCACTATTGCGACATACATGACTGTAGGTTTTCCATTGACCGCCTGCCCTACAATCATTCACTTGTCAAAGAGAGCAAGTACAATAGATATGTGATCCATGTCTATCCTTTTTAAAGCAGCCACAATCAATATGATGATCTGAATGTGGACTGCATAATATACAATAAACAGGCTGGCAGAAAGCTTGGGAGTGCAGAAACAAAGCACACTGAAAGTTTGACCAAAATAAATAAATACTACTAAACTAGATTTTAACTGAGTCAGGGACCCTTGAACTGGTGAAAGCTATGAAAACCTCTTGCACACCCTCTGACACAGTTATAATCGTATGATGAACTTTGCTCCACCTGACTTTGTTTGCTTCAGGGTCACATACAGCTACACTGACTTATATTACACATTTGCCCTAAAGACAAATCTAAATGATTCTTTGGATTCTGTACTACCACCATTTGTAAATCAAGTTGTTTGCTACAGTTACTTCCACCCATTGGGGCCCATTTGTGAAATAAAGACTTACAATTAAAAATACAATGTGGAGAATAAAGCACAATACTTTTGCTTTAATAGTCCACCAATGAATGACTGCGCTCATATAATGGAGCTAAAGCTATAACATGATGACAACCTTTGGTATTTGAAAGTAACAGTGGTAATTTTGTACATTAAAAGTCGGTTAACAAACAATCCAGGTATGTTATTTGATTACTGCCATAAAGGGTGTGATGGGATTAAAGCCAAATTGTGTAACGTTTTAACCACATACATTATGTGCAATTTAAATAAATATAAATTCCACAGACTTGATCCTGACAGTACTATATGTGACAGAGATCATAATCTTTTTCTTTATGTAAAACGCACGTCAGTAAGTATAAAATAATACTTCCCTGAACAACGGGTAAGCATGCACAAATGATTACAATCTTACACTCCTTGTGTGCCTGAGTTACTTAAGCAGCTCCATGTTTATTTACTCCTCCTAACAGAAGATTTGACTGTGTGTGCACTGCTCTCCCACAGGCTTGCAATTACGTCGATCTATCTGGATCTACAGTATGAAAACCAGTTGGCCTCACATGTCGACTCCGTTACCACATACTTCTTATAGCAGTAGATCTCCTCTGGGTCTGCAATGCCATACTCTCTGAGCTTCAGGATCATTTGAGCACTTTTTCTAACAGCCTGGTCATAGCGCTCACTGCGGGACAGGAAGTTTGGGTCCTCCTCCTGAAAGTCCGGGTCGCTGAGAACCATTGACTCTACAGTAGATAGTGGAAATTAGATCAGAAATGTATCTTTTAGTCCATACAGCTGCTGTGGTTTATACAACTGGAAGTAAAAGTCAAGACCTACATATTATCAATGCTTAACTGGACATTTGCAAAATGTGTCTACCCGTGTGTGAAAATGTGTACAAAGGCTTCTGTGAGCTGACTGGAAGCATAAGATTACTGGCCCGCATACAGTACACCCATGCATTATCAAGGCAGCATTACTTCAAAAACTGTGTCACAATGGAGGGGATAAGTCCTGCAGTCTCCACCGAAGACATGCGAGGCCAGTGTCGAGAAAGGAAGCCATCTTTTGTCAGAATTTGGAGAATACTTGTGTTTGCAATCCTCAGCAAATGTTACACAAGTCAAAAATGCACTCTATCGTGAACTTGACTCAACTTAGAGCAGTTTTTGCCCATTTGTGTTTAACTTCCTTGTGAAAAAATTTGGAAATAATTGACTTTTCAAGTCAACGGATACTGTATATATATAGTATACTGTCGCTTTGAGGCTAGATTGTCTCATTTGGGAAGAAGTTTAGGTTTAGCAGAGCCCTCAGTGTCTCTGAGGGACAGACCTCGTGGGCCATGTCTTTCAAAGGGTCCAGACCATGAATTTAGTCACTTTTATCTTGCCAAAGCAACATGACACAGATTTTTAGAACTGAAACAATGACTCGATAATTGATAAGTCAATGCAATGGACAGAAGTAATCTAAAACTATTCTGATAATCAATTAATTGTTTTGAGTCCTTTTTTTTAAGAAAAAGTGTGATTATTTACTGGTGTGCTCATTTTCCTAAAGTTATAAATGAAATGTCTTCAGGTTTTGGACTGTTAGACAAAACAAAACAGTTGAAGATGTCATCCTGGACTCCTGGAAATTGTGATGGACATTCATTTCAACTTTTCTTTTATACATTTTAAAGTGAAAAAGGTGAATTGGTTACTTGAGAAAATACCCAGATTAATCAATAATGAATAATGAAAATAATCATTATTTGAGGCCACAGTAATTTACAAATGCATGCTGATTTAAGAATGTATACAGACATAGAAAATGAGATGTATGAAAAAAGTTTCATGTAACACATTTTCAAATGTGTGCACACTGACAAATTTCAGAATGCATTTGCACACACATATATAGTCTTCAATTTTGACCTGAATTACTTTTAAATTCCTTCCACACTGATTCAGACAGTGTGTGTTGTTCTCTGCTGCCTACCTAAAAGTCCACAGGTAGCCAACACTAACATCACTTTAATCAACTATTGTAAAGATGTTTGCTAAAAGACACGAAAGCCGAATTCACCTTTGCAACATACCAAACGACCCTAACATACCTGTCTTTACAAATAGCAGCTTAAATGGACGTTGTGTGACATAGACTTTTAAATACAGTAAAAGTTTGGTTCAGTTCCGGACAACTGGACCGTAACGACCGCAAGCGTCGACACAAGCTCCTCTCTCTCCACTAGTTATACTCGTTTCTTACCAAATATCCCTCATCATCATCAGCATATGTCACGTTTTAAGGTACAAGCACAATAATCGTCAGGCAAAGAAGACATTTCAAACTCACCAATTTCTCGCCTTCTTTTGGTCTTTTCTGGGCCCCCGTCCAAAATATACGTCAGTTTCTCGACGTCAAAAGTGGCATTTTGCCGCTCTTTCATAATATCAGGATTCATGGCTCTATAGCTGAGTTAAAAAATAATATCTTGTGAAAAAGTATAATGGGAATGGTGTTGTATAACCTCTGGAAACCAAAAACCTGACGGGTCCTCTTCAAACGGCCTCCTCTTGGCGCAGCCGCAGAAAGGTCGGCACAGGCGGAGACTAACGAGTCATGTGACCTGTAACCCGGTAGTAACCAGCCTTCCTCAACACCTCACTATAAACAGTCTGAACACTTCACTCACTGTACTAAAGTAACGTTAGTGCACTGTGTTTAACACTGTTATTTTCATCTTTACCAGGATGCTTCCTGCAGCTGCAGTCTTCCAGTTCCCCTGGGAAATAAACTCTGGAGCAGTGCAGGAAGGAGAGTCAGTAAGAGTATTTGGCAGGTAGGTTTAGTTTTGTTTAGTTTTGTTTGTGACTCACAACACATCGGGTTTGATGTCACTGAAAGACAACATTAATATTATGCAACGTATTCGGTTTATACAAGACCATTTATACTTTATGGGAATATAAACAGTGGTTTGTGTACACACGTTTGTCAAAACTATACTTAAAGTGAAACTATGTAACTTCTGAAAGAAGAAAAACAAATTCTTCTTAATTAAATTAAAAGTTGAATTCATATTCGATTCGATCGATTGCCGATACAGCCTTTCTTGCTCTGGTATGACAGTTAGCTTATAGTGGCTAAACAGATTGATAGAATAATGAATTGACTGATTGTTACATCTGATGTGTAACTGGCTTACTTTCCTGATTCCATAACTCTTCTCTTTTTGTGCTACTGTTACACAACCTTTTAGCATTTATTATTATGCTGTAATTGTCACTTAAACAAAAGTTCACCAACCAAACAATGTTCTTTTGTTATTATTACTGCATATATTAGAATACAATACAACTTTATTATCCACCAAGGTGAAACCACTGTCAGTATGACTTCCCCAGGTTATAAAATGTAATACACCTTAAAAAACATAAAAATATTGACTTGGACATGAACGTGTTTCTCCAGACTTGCCTGCTATGATCCTGAGGTTTCCGAGGCCACACTGTCAGCTCAGCATGCTTCAAAAGAGCACCATGTGGTCATCCACACCATGTTTGTGGAGCCCTTTAACCCCATCATTGGGGCCCAGTACATTGTTCTGGGCGAGATAGAAAATGCTAAAGGTAAGGAAAGACTTTCTGATCTGTTATGACTGGTGAATAATTTATTAGGATTACCAAACAGCCGTTTCTTGTTTCTCTTGGGTCCACATACAGTATCGGACGAACAAGAAACTGACTGGCTATCCGAAAGTAGTATTTCCACATGTAAAAAATAGTATTATCCGGTATACATCATGTAAATATTAAATATTTATCTGTATCTTCTTGTCTTACAGGGGTTGGTGTGATGGTCCGTGCCCGTGTGCTGAACTGTGTTGATGGTGTTAATACTGCCCTTCTACAGAAAGCCATCAATGAGCAAAGGAGCTTTTTCAGGGAGAGGGACCACAAACAGAGTGATGCTCCACAACCTGCACACGCAACCTGATAAGGGTCTTCATTCATCAAGTTTCCCAGAGTGCTCGTTGAGTATCTGGACTAGAGCGCTGCCTCTTAAGCTGTTTGCCAAGAGACACTGTTTGCTGTTGTATGAACTTTAAGAGTGTTTGTTTAAGTGGAAAATACATTACTTTCATTATGGTTAACTTGTCTACCTCTCTCACCAACAGTTTTCTGCACTTTATCAGTCCTCGAGTTTCTGTACTTTATCAGTCCTCGAGTTTCTGTTTGACAATTACAGCCCCAAATTGGATTGACTTGGGTTTTACAGTTGATCAGTGTTTTGGGTCCATGACTTATGAATGTAGTGCATTTTTTTGCCATTTCTCTCAGTGTTAAGACATCTGATATTATTAGTTTTTCCGTACTGCCATTTTATATCGTGGTCTTAACATTCTTTCATATTGATCTTATATCTTTCAAAAATGCTTTAAGATTTGTTACAATAGGAATGTTTTATATGGATCATGTCATACAGATAAAAAACTGAACATGGATATATTCCACTCACATCAAAATAGCAATGGTTTAGCATCTTGGTATAGTCTGGGTTATTATTGGGTTATATTACATAGATCCGGATTTGCACTGAAGTACCAGTAGCAGAATGAATATCATTATATCCAAATTAATTTAATAATCTTACAAACAATAGAATTCAAAGCAGAAGCCTGTATCTCAACCACGTTAAGACCAAGTTTTTATAGGTTTAAGACAAAAATCAATAAAGGCATGTTCTCCTGTATCTAAACACGTTGTTTAAATTAGTCAGGCATGCTCTAATTAGTGAGCTATACAGGTCCTGGCTTGTATGCTAAAGCAGTGGTTCCCAACCTTTTGGCTTGTGGCCCCTAATGACAGACTATGGCCACAAAGTTGATTAGACCTTAAATGATTAGTCTTTTAATTGATTAGTCCATCAACAAGGAACAATTTTGTTAGTTTATTACTTACTGCTGTAATTTCTCAAGCAGAAACGTCATGTAGTTTTTATTTCTAGCTTTTCCAATGTGACGATTTGCTGTTTTTACTTCTTTTCCACAATATCAGATTTTGACTGTTGCTCAGACAAAATGTAAAGATTGTAATTGTAAGATTGATTGTAATGGCCATTCTTCATTGTTTTCTGATATTTAGACCATTATTTATTTAGACCATTATTTATTTAGACCAGAAACTGCAGAAACCACTGCAGCCTCAGTTTGACACCTTTGGTGGCCCCAACCCCTGTTTTTGGAACCACTGTATTAAAGGATGCATCCTCAAAATTAAATCTAGTCTTCAATGTTTTTGCAACTAGCATGTTAATGTGTACTGGGTGGAGTGTTGCCCATTATTTGTCCTTTAATATCAATGAGAAACCTTCTTTTTCCTGATACACTTGTGGTGCATAAAAGGGGAAAATGTAAAAGTCACCCAGATTTTGTGTTTTAACTAGGTTCTTAAATATAAGATCTGATGTGTGACTATCTATTGTACCTGTTTGTGTGTGTTCTTTGTTTAAAAAGACTACACAGCACTGAAATTGAGGGAGTCCATGCTCTTAAACTGGTATAATTTAAATTTATTGATATTTGTTTCTTCATAAAGTATCAAACAAGATTCAGTTTAAAGTGAATAGTGTCAAGGATAGCCCATAAGTAATACAGAATCAAATCAATCTTGGTAAATAGCATTGCATCATGTCCCAGTATCCCTAATAACACAATAATATCAAAGATAAACTGCATTTATATTCTCTGTTTTTAAATTAAATCAAAAAAAACATCCGCCCACATCACATGTTTGGTAAACAAAGGCAAAACAGCAGCAATCATTTTGGCTAGACAGACAGCTTTGCAGCAGAAGACTTTTCCTGAGTCATAATGTACATTGTAATTAATATATTTTCATATGGTTTCAAATGTGTTTTCATATGGTTTTCCCATAATCTAATAGTACATTTATACCACTCCACGTAGCAGATATCTCCAAGTCTGTTGTAAACATATCTAAAATCTTGCATATTTTGAGTTGTACATTGGAGTGTAACCTGACTCTTTGGAGGAGGCGGGCAGCATTGGTAAGCCTGACATTGGGTCTGTCTTACAGCGATCCATAGCTTGTTTGTAGTTGATCTTCTCCTTTGTGATTGGGTCTACAATATCCTTAATGTAGGTAGTCTCAGACTGCAGCTCCCTCATCATTGTGCTGTCGATCATTTTGGACCCAATGGCATCCAAGATGCTTACTCTGCGACCAGTGTTGGGATTGACCAGCCCTCCGGTCAGGTGTTGTGCCTCCATGTAGCGAGTGGCAGTGTCCTTTGGCATCCAGCCTTTCTGAACAGCTTCTCCCACAGACAAACACTCTCTGGTCATGGGGTCTTCAACACCAGTGAAGGCCTTTTGTGCATTGAGTAGCCTCTGGAGTTGACTGTCCTCAATGAGGCCTTTAGCTGCTGCCTTGTGAACTGTGTATCTCTCCTTGTTGTTGATATCAATGATGCCACCAGTTGATGCCTGAGCCTCCAGAAGTTTTTGGGCAGTGGTGGGGTCGATCAATTTACGCAAGGCGGCATTACGTATTGTAAAGCAGGTGTCAGTGTTTGTATCGATTACTCCAGCAACTGGGTAGACTTCTTTAGCAGTGGAGAGGTCTGAGGGGGCTGATTTCACTGTTGTGGTGGACTTTGGGACGATTGAGTTGAACTGGGGTTGCTTCCTGTTGTCACCCGCAACCAGCAAGGCAAACTCTGAGATGGGAATCTTGCCTTGTTTATACTGTTGTAGATTAAACTCTGTCAGCCTTCCTTCCTTTAGAGCATCTTTGATGGAGTACTGCTTTCCACTCTTGCGATCCTGCAGTACAGATGTCTCCCCTTCAGGTCCCATCGAAGTAATCTCCTCCCAATCACACTCCAGCTCCTGAAGATGAATGTACTGTTGACGATCAATCAGGCCTTGCAGGTAGGCATCATAGGGAGACATGTCTTTGCCTGTATCTGGATCCAGAATAGTGATTTTGGTGGAGACATTGGTTTCTTTGGTCCTTGTCTCTGCTTGCTCCTCTTTCTGCAGGTTCAGCAAAAGATCTCGGATGATGCTGTCTCGCTGATGGATCTTATCTTTTTCACCCAGGATATCGCTCTCCAGACGCTGGGTTTCAGACACCATTTTAACGCTTTTCTGCCTGCTTGTCTGCGCTCTCTCACTCAATAACCTGCTCTGCTGCTGGAAAGACAAGCTGGTGTCATGTTTCTTGGCCCCCAGTGTCCTGAGCTCCCGAGTGAGGTTGTCCCTCTCCCTCTGTAAGGCATCTCTGTTCAAAGTAAGGTTAGTCTCCTCTCTTGAAGAGCTGGACTTGGTGCTCATCAGAAGGTTGATTTTATCATTGAGACGTCTGATTTCATCTTCCAGGTCTTGTCTGGTATATTTTTGCTGAGAAACCTGCTCCCTCAGGCGATCTCTCTCTGCTTCGACTGCCTGGTCTTTCTCAACACGGACAACCTCTTTGTACACCGTCTTCTCACCAGACTTCTCCTTCTGCAGGATCTCAAGCTTTAGCGTGATGCTACGTATCTCTCTCTGAAGGCGTAGGATTTCACTGGATTGCTTGTCCATGTCTGACCGAAGACCGTTTGTCATCCTGTCCAGTTTCGGGTCTCTTTCAACTTTGAGTACCTCTTCGACAACAATACTTTCCTCAACAGGAGGTGGGGCATTTTCCAGCTGTGTGATCCGCAGTTTGATTTCTCTGAGCTCAGACTCAGCTTGAACCCTCTTTTGGCGCTCATCACTCTCTCTGAGGATCCTCTCTTTATCCTCCACCTTTGTTCTTAGCTGCTGCAACTCTAGGTCTATCTGACGCCGAGTCATTACTTCTTCATCCAGGCTCCTGCTGAGCTTCTCATGCTCAATCAACTGCCTTGGGTCCTTCTGTAAACGCAAAACCTCCTGTACAACAACTTTCTCCTCGGGCTTCTGTCTCTCCAACAGGATGTATTTGTTTTGCAGATCAAACACCATCTCTTCAATAGAGCGCCGCAGTTGGGCCTCCTCCCGCACATCTCTTCTCAAGCGGTCAGCTTCTTTCTCCAAGAGAGGATCAGGTTCATACTTGATGACTTCTCTGGTGACGAGTTTGGTCTCTATCTTGGATTTTTCAGCCTTCCATTCATCTCTCTCTTTCCTAAGTAGTCTCACCTTGTCCTCAAGGGAGCTGTAAGTGGTGCGTAAATGGCTCACTTGATCGTTTAGCCTCTGTATCTCTCTCTCATTTTCAGGGCTTCTTTCCTCCTTAACCACCTCTTGGAGAACTTCCTTCAGCTCCACCTTGGGCTTCTCAGAACGAAGGATGTTCACCTCAGACGTGACCTGGGTGACCTCCCTTTTCAGATCAGAGTGCTGCCTGCTGGAGTCTTGTATGTCTTTCCTGAGCCGCATTATCTCCACCTCTGTGTTTGGGTCTATCCGGTAGATCTCATTAACAATTTCCTTCACTTCGATTTTTGGCTTCCAGTTTTGAACTTCTCTGTAGCGGCTGTGGAGCTCCATCAGCTCTTTGGACAAAGTGTTGTTTTCAATCCTCTCTTCCTCCACACTTGTTAGAATCCTCTTAGATTCAGTGATGAGGTCAGGGTCTTGTTCAATCTTTTTCACTTCTTTAGTGATGATCTTTGGCTTGATGTTAGGAATCAGTCTCTCAAGTGCATTAATCTGACTCCTTGTCTGGAAGATTTCATCGTTGAGTAACTTGATCTTGTTGTTCTCTTCAGAAATGTCTGTCTCAAATGTTCGCACTGCCCTCAACATCTCTGGGTTCTGTTCTACTTTCACCACTTCCTTCTTAACCACCATCTCTTTGATGAGTGGTCTCTTCTGCTGGAGAATCGTGACTTCTGTCTTCATCTGAATCTGCTCTCCATCTCTGACTCGAATTTCCTCTCTGATCTTTGCCATTTCATCTCTTATCTTAGCAGCCTCTACATCCAGCTGAGGATCTTTCTCAAACTCTGTCACCTCTCTGGTCAACAGTTTTGGTGGAGTGTTTTTGAGGGTGTCCTCCACGATGGTGATTTTCTTGTTTAACACTTCAACATCAGTCTGGGTGGTGCTACGCCTCAGGACCTCTTCATGCAGAATTTTCTGCAGATCGGCCAAATCCCTCTCCAGTTTTGGGTCACGGTAGTACTGCAGTACTTCTTTCTCCTCAACACGCTCTACTCCTCTGCGACTCTTCAACGACAGCATCCTGTCTTTAAAGGTTCTCAGGTCTGTTTCAGCATGAACTGTCCTCTCCTTCTCTTCATCTAGCTCTTTGAACAGACCGTCTAACTCAAAAGAACTCCTTTGTTGGCTTTCAAGCTGCACTTGTTGCTGTGCCACCATTTGGACTTTGTCTTCATTCTGCAGCAGGAAAAACAAATTATTTGAATGGCAAAAAGTTGTCAAGTGTGTTGTTTTGTAATGTATTTGTATTTATTAGTTTTAAGGATAATATATTTTATAGTAAAGACATCATATAGAGAATAGAAAACTTTTTTTGATTCTCAATCTGTTTACTTACTTGTAAAATTAGATTCTTAGCCAAGCCCATCTGTTTTTGGCGTTGGGTGTTTTCAGCTGTTGCTTCAGTGTAACGGTTGACCAGATTCTTTTCCTGAGACACAGCAGTACATCAGCCACCTTAAACTTTTAATAAATGTAACAAATTTATATTATGTTAAAAACATAGAACTTAAAATGTTACCTCTTTCTGAATAGCATCAGCCAGTCCGGGCATACAAGGTTTCTTTGCAACAGTGGCTCCAGCACCCTCAAGTGTACTGTTGTATTTGTCAACGTTGACCTCGTATTCCTGCACAGATGTGAAAAATTAGGCTATGCTATTTTGACTTATTTCTTTCCTTTATATATAATGCCTCAAATCACCAATACATTCTCTTGCTAATATTTTATAGAATTATATTATAATCAGTTTGAGACTTACATTGAATAGATTCTGTAGATCTTGAGACAGGTCAGCCACTCTGTCCATGTCATCTCCCTTCCTCTTCAGGTCATCCATCACCCTCTATGGTAAAAAGTTAAACAGATAGTAATCACTATGTGTTATCAATATCATCTATCATTCAATAATAGAAGATTTACATAGAGCAGAGCATTTGTATAAAGAAATTACTGACAGAGAAATTAAGAGGAGTGGATGCTCTGGAAAAAAAGATAGCACCCTCAACCATTCTTCACGTGACACTTCTGTGTAGTCACCAGATAGTCTCACCTCTTGGGAACTCTGCTTAGCAGTGATCTGAGACAGATCATCATTGTAGTTAATCTGGTTTGTCGGAAGGTTGTCCAGGAAGGAGTTTAGGGATTTGCTTGTGCTCTGGAACTCCTGGTTCTTCGTTCCAGCTTCTTGTAAGATGTTTTCTCTAGAGAATTCATCATATGACAGAAACATCAAACAA